CTTGCTGAGGACTACTTTCAGGAGCTGCATAATATCATTGTGAGTGCTGCAGCCGTGGTACAGCAACTAAGTTCCAAAATTATTATGCCGGAATGAGAGTATAGTTCCTTTCCATTTTGGCCCAGAGAATATCAACTTTTCATTAACTTTTACAGTTTTTTCCAACTGCTTACACACAGAATCTTTTCTTGTTACACGATTTCTGAAACCTCTCATTCAAAATGCAAAACACAGCAAATCTTCAAAATCAGAAGCTGTTTCTCAGCCTTGAACTCGGTTTTCAATTGCATAAAACACTTTTTTTTCAAAACTCTACACACAACTCTCTGCCTAAAACACAAAAGCTAACAAGAATCCATTTGCTTTCCTTTTACAAACACAACCAATCAAAATGCTACGCCTATTTCACACACACACACACACACACACACACACACACACACACACACACACACACACACACACACACACACACACACACACACACACACATACACATACACACACATTTGATAGCTAACCAATCACTGCTTTTGTCTAGTATAGGCCAAAGGTAATGGGACACTGGGCTGTTCAGGTCCAGAAAAAAAAAAAAAAAAAAAAAAAAACAGTTTTCCACCTATCTACAATTTGTAGATTTGTACCCCATTTTTTCCTTTTCTAAATCCTAAAAGAATAGAGGAATTCTTCTGAGCCTAGCATTGTAAAGTGTATAATGACCAACCCTATGCCCACATGACGCTTTTCCAGACTCTCTTCACACACAGTTGTGTTCTTTACTGTTTTCTAAAGACACACTTTTGCTTTCAATGTTCAATTTAGTATTTTGGTAATAATTTAGAAAAACTCTCTGTTATAATTAATTAATATATCATTAATAAACTGTTGTTTAATGAGTTATAAACGACTTGTTCAATAATAGTTAATAGTTTGTTAATTGTTTATTACTGTGCCTTATAGAGCCAACAGATAACTTACAAGCTGTTAGTTAAGTTATAAATGACTTGTAAACTGTATTTTAATGATTTATAACTATACCTAATACTTTATTAATAGACCATGAACAAGCTGTTAGTAAAATACTTACTAAAGACTTAAGTATCAGTTATTAGTTTATATATGTTATTGGGACGTTATTCTAGTTGCAACTATTCTTCATTTATTAACTGTTAGTAAACAAGCAATAGTTGCAACTTTAGAAAAACGTCCCGATAACATACATAAGCGAATAACTAACACTTAACTAATAATTTAACTTACACTTTATAGATCCATTGTTCCTTGTTTGTAAACCATCTACTAATACCAGTGAAACTTTGTAGAACAGCAAATGGATGGAAATTTGATGTTATATTTAAAATATAAAATGTTTGTACCCACTCATAAGCTTTTCAGTGTGCTGTATTTTACCAAAGAAACTTCACAGATGAAATATTAAACATTGTGTTTAATGTATAGAAACACACACACTGAGCCATCATATGGCAGAACAGCAGTATACAACAGAATAAAAACCCACACTGAAAAAAGTTTTGCATGCAGAACTGTTGCAAACTATTTATTTGTGTTGAATTTAAACAAACAAATTAAATGTAATAATTATTAACTTAATTTTTTCCTAAATTCAGCCCAAATAAATTGTTTACAACCACTTAACGTAAAAAATTTAAGTAAATCCAAGGAATTATCTTTGAAAAATTTTTTTCAGTGCATGAGGTTTTGGCACTTTTTGTGCTAAAAAAAAAAATATTAAAGTTCTACAAAAGATTTACTGGTGTTATTATATGGTAAACATCTAATGGTAAACATCTAAACTACGAACAACTGATCTGTAAAGTGTGAGTTAATATATTAGTTAAGTGTTCACTTAAGTATGTTATTGGGACACTTTTCTAAAGTTGCAACTATTCCTCGCTTATTTAGTTAATAAATGAAAAATAGTTGCAACTAGAATAACATCCCAATAACATATATAAACTATCAACTGATACTTAACAAGTCTTTAGTAAGTGATTTACCAACAGCTTGTTCATGATCTATTAATAAATTATTAGGTATAGTTATAAATCATTAAAATACAGTTAACGAATCATTTATAACGTGTTAAATAACAGCTTGTAAGTTATTTATTGGCTATCTATAAGGCATAGTTATAAATAATTAACAAACTATTAACTATTATTGACCAAGTCATCTTTAACTCAATAACTAATAGTTTATTATTGGACTATTAACAAGTTAGAATGGATAGTTATTCTAAAGTGTTACCACTATTTTTATTTTACATTTTTACATAAAGTATGTTTATGATTTTGGCCTTACACTGTACATGATTTCCGTTTTTTTCATGTCATTTGTGTTAACAGTGTACCTTTTATTTTACTTTTAGAACAATAGTGTTATGAAAGAAGTGTTTGCCATTTGATGCCAATGCTTGATTCTGATGTGTGTTTATGGCATTTTATATGCAGTGTTACATTCTGAGGTAGATGTGAGGCATTTTGCATTTTGTGTGTGCAGTTTTGAGAATTGTGTGTAGAGTTTTGAAAAAAGATGCTGTTTTAAAATTGTAAGAAGTTGGAAAAAAAACTGTAAACTGTAGATGTAAACTTATGAAAGAGTAAAGAGCTTTCGATTTAGAACAATATGTTGACATGCTATATCCAAAAGTGTTATACAATGATAGAAGCATTTGTCATTTGATGCAAATGCTTGATTCTGATGTGTGTTTCTGGCATTTTGAATGCAGTGTTATATTTTGAAAAAGTTTTTGCGTTTTGCATTTCATGTGTGCAGTTTTGGGAATTCTGTGTAAAGTTTTGAAAAAAGGGGACGCTGTTTTGGAAGCAGTTTGAAAATTGTAACAGATTGTAGCCCACACATTATATGAGAAATTTTAAAAGACACAAATGAGATACGAGGCATGCTGGTGTTAGGAATTCAGAGAAAGATTTAATGAATAATATTTAAATTTGCGATGATACTTCTGACTTTTGATTGGGCAAAGCAGTGGCGTAGTAGGTAGTGCTGTCGCCTCACAGCAAGAAGGTCGCTGGGTCGCTCAGTTGGCATTTCTGTGAGGAGTTTGCATGTTCTCCCTGCGTTTGCGTTGGTTTCCTCCGGGTGCTCCGGTTTCCCCCACAGTCTAAAGACATGCTACAGGTGAATTGGGTAGGCTAAATTGTCCGTAGTGTATGAGGGTGACAGGCCTAGACGACAGGCCGGCCAGAATGTGTAAAAATAAAGGAAAAAAAGTCTTTATCATATGGACAAGTCTAAATGGAGGACTTGTTCCAAAGAGCCGACCCCGCAACCATACGGGACTAAGGCCAAAGAAAAAGAAGACTTCTGACTTTTGATTGCAGATTTGCTGTCTTTGCAAGTCTAAATATGATGTTAGGTAATGAGTTCTTGTTTGAAACTATATAGTCACATTGACATCAGATAGTTATAGCATGTTATTTATTAAAGACCATATATCTTTTATTATTTTGACTGAACTCACATAAAATTATATTAAAGTTTATAAGAGATGCTCAACTAGGATGCAATAATTTGATAAAAAGAACAGTGAAAACAGGAATATTGTTCAAATGTATTACAAATTAAAATAAATATTCTCTATTTGAATGTGGGCTATAATATAATTTTGTTATAATTTGTTATATCTGAAGGGGATTTTCAGCATCATTATTCCAGTCATGGGTTCGTACTTTTTTTTTTCCTCAGACGTAGTCTGGCTTATTTTATTTATAATATTACAGTTTTATATGTTTATAATTGTGAAAAGATCTTTACAAACTACTTTATCATTTTGTGGAACCACAATATTTATTAGGGTTATTTTATTGAAAGCTATAAAGCTTATTGGAGATTTTAAGCAAACAATTATTGGGAATAAAAACATTTTTGTTTAAATTGTAAATATTTTCTATGTAATTCCAGATCAAATTATTAGTCAGTGTATACTTAAAATGCATAATAAAATATACAATGCATACTTAATAAAATAAAAATGCAAACTGACCTTAAATGCAAGTTTAAATGCAAATTACTTATAAAAAAAAATGCTAAAACTATTGTATTTATTTAAAAACCATTATTTGGAATATCAAAAAATTTAGTCTTTACCCTACAGTATATTGTGGCTCCCTGATGGAGGAAAACTCTAGTCATTTCGGTGGTTTATTTCCACAGAGCTCAGTTGTTTGTTTGTGTGTATGTGTTTGAGTGATGTCTAGAGATGTAAGAGCATATCTTCGCTACTGCTTTCGGTGAGCTCTGCTGCTCCACTGCCATGTTACTCCATCAAGCATGTATAAACCTTTTGACATTTGTCATGTCCCGAAGCAAAATGTCCCCTGTTCTATCTCTTCAAGTGTCTCAGCTTCTCACTGACACAGAAATGAATGCAACAACACTGCAAAAATAAAAATCCACATATACCGAACACGAGGACACAAACCCCAGATAACAAGAAACTGACAATGACAAATACACATTCACACGTGCACTCATCAGACAAGGCCTTGAATATTCTTGACTCAGCATTTATGTGACATTTTTAAGTGCAACTGCTGATATTGTTTAGATGTTATACTAATACACACACACACAAACACACACACATGCACAGGCGAACATGCACACAAAGCTCCCAGCATGTGGAGTACAGCAGAGGGTCAGGCTGTAATCAATACTGTAACTTGATCATGCACTGTTTGCCAGTTTCATTAAATTTAAATATCTGCCCTGGAGAGGAAAAAGATGTCCAGTCCGAAAGAAAATAACCTGACAGCTAGTTCACATTGGTCAACAAACACCCCCCAACCCCCCATCATAACATCATATCATATCTGCAAGCCAAGTGTGATGTAAGCTTGCTTGTGTGAAAGTGCACAGTTGCATTTTTGTGTATACCACAGTATCCAAGAACTCATTCTAGTAAAAAATAACTACTACCGTATACTTAAATCAAATGCATGATTAAAAGCACTCACCTAATAATAGCTCCAAATCAATTAAGATTAAATGCATGCAAGAAACCAGAATCCAGTGATTGTGTTAGTCTGTGTGAATTCCTCTTAAAAAGCTGTTAAATCCACAGTACATCAGAATCTTTCAATGTCATCCATGTTCAGAGTGCCACTGCGCTGCCGCCACTAACTCTGATTTTCCCCACCACTGACCATCATCAACTATCAGCCTAAAAATACTCTTAAAGAGACAGCATCCTTTCTCTTTCTCTCCTTGTGCTCTTTGGACAACCATCCAGCAGACTAGGGACTGCCTTAATCTTCTCCTGTTGGAACCGGCCAATCAGAAGCGAGCAGGAAATCAGTAGTGATGTTTAGTGAGAGAGAGAAAGAGAGAGAGAAATAGGCAGCTGTGGATAATAGATATGGAGGGAGCATAGACAAGAATCAGCAGGAGATTATGTACTTAAAAGATCCTGACTGGTACATGGGGGGTTTGAGGAGGGCGTGGGTGGGTTTTTAAACATTAGGTTACAGAAACAAAATCACTATAAAAACAAATGCATACTGGAGCATTATATAATTTTAGTATTTTATATGATATTTTAGTGCAAGAGAATGATGAATAGAATAACAGAAGGACTGAATGATAGATAGATTAATGAAGTGATAGGTAGAGTTACAGACTGATAAACGGAAACACTGATCAAATTTTTGAGTGAGAGATAAAACAGATTAATATCAAAGTTTTTTATAAAAGAGACTCACATATTTATGGATAGATAGATTGTATAGGAGACAGATTAAATGATGGAATGACAGAAGACAAAATAACCATAAAAAGACTGAATGATTGAATTAAAAAAAATAATAAACAAAACAATCAGTTGAAACAATATGTAGATAAATCTAACGGTTTATAAAATGACAGAACAACATCAAACAATTGAATGAAAAATAGAATAATTGAACTAAAGATTGAACAATAAAAAATAAAAGAACAATCAAATCAAACTATATATAAAACGATTGAACAATAAACCAAACAATCAAACAACAGATAATAATTGAAATATCAAATAAGCGACAGAACAATCAGATAGTTTGAACAATCAACAAAATAAACAAATTATAAAATAGAAAAATCAAACAAAAGATAGATAGACTGATTTAATGACCGATAGAATAGTTTAACTAAAATGAAATAATAATTAAAAATTGTAAGAACAATCAAACTATGGATTAAATGTTTAAACAATAAACCGAATAATGAAACAAAAAATTTAATAATAAAACTATCAAATGAGGGACAGAACATTCAGATAGACTATACAATCAACAGAATAAACTAATTATAAAATAGAACAAGCGAACAAAAGATAGATAGAATAATTGAACAATTAAAAATATAGGAACATTCAAACTACAGATAAAACGGTTGAACAATAAACCAAACAAAGAAACAAAAGAATAACTGAACTATCAAATAAGTGAAAGAACAATCAGATAGATTGAACATTCAACAGAATTAGCTAATTATAAAATCACACAACAAGCTAACAGATAGATAGAAAGGTAGATAGAATGATTGAATGCAAGAATAGTAGAACCAAAGATTGAACAATAAAAAATGTAAGAGCAATCAAACTTTGGACAAAATGTCTGAACGATAAACCACAGATAGAATAACTGAACCATCAAATAAGCGAGAGAAAAATCAGATAGATTGAACAATTGATAGAATTATCAAATTATGATAAGAAAAATCAAACAAAAGATAGATAGACTGATTTAATGATCTATAGAATAGTTGGAAAAAATGGAACAATAAATAAAAATTGTAAGAACAATCAAACTATGGATAAAATGTTTGAACATAGAAATGTTTGAAGATACAAGATGTGCAGCACCTGACACTACGGATACTGGAAGCCTGTGCTGACATTTCTCCTGTGGTGTTGCTATCAGTGTGTGAAGAGTGAGAGAAGAGGGTTGCATTGACAATCCAACACAATGGGCAGCACATTGAACACATTTTATTAGTGGTCAGAAACTTGTAAATAACTCATGAAAGAATAAAGTTACATTAAAACCAAGCCCACACTTGTTTTTCTTCTGAAATTCCCAATAAGTTTGATGTGTCAAATGACCCTCTTCTGATTAAAAAAACAAAAGTTGAATCCAAGATCCAACCATTCCCATTTTATTAAAGTGTATTTACATAAATGGCCCACCCTGTACAGACAGACCAAACGATAGAACGAGTGAACGATAATTATAACTTTTAAATAAGTGACAGAAAAGTCAAGCAACAAATACAACAATTTAATAATACTCAAAATGATTGAATGATAGGTAGATTAATCAAACAATTGCTAACACAATCAAACATCAGAACAAAAAAAAAACAATCAAATAAACGATGACAAAATGGAATGATAGAATGACAGAGTGAACATTAGAGCAAAAGACAGAACGGTTGATGGACTGATTTACAGAACAGTAATAGAACGATAGATGATTGCAACATTCCCTCACATAGTGATTTCAATATTTTATGCATACACATATTAAAACAGTCTACAGCTGCGTTCACCATCAACATCTTCTCTCTGAATAAATGAAGGCGGTGAACACAGTTGGAGTGTGAGGATGTTTAAAGCATGAGGGCTTGACTGACGTGGTTTGTTGATGAGTTTTGAGGTGAGCCTCATCCTCCTGCCACATGCCGTCCTTGACTGAGTAACGCAATAGCGAGGTCTAGACACCAGCACTGTATAATTGACGAAGTGTAAAACAAGATGGGCATAAATCCTACCTCAGAAGTCTTGCCCTCGACTCTCAATGTTGTTTTAATGAGTCACACTCTCTCCAGAATTTAGACATATCATTCTGTTTGCTTTCGGGAACACGTGGATCCAGACCCCAAGATGTCCTCAAGCTGAAAGCAAACATTTGTCCATCTGAGTGCATCTGTGACATCATGTGAAGAAGCCAGCGTTTGCACACAAATTAAAACAAAGATGATGAACTACAATGAGCGAGTCGCCCAGCTAGCAAAATTTACACATACTTCATGGAATGATGGCACTTGGGCGGTCCGCTTCTGTTTGCCAGATCTGGGCCTATTCCCTATTCTGGGCCACAGTTTGCTTTTATTCTGGCCCAGATCTGGCCTATTACTTCTAATAAGGGTTTAAACATTGGTAAACATCAGTGACTAAAATATTTTATTACAGGTTGTGCCTCACTTCATTTTGTTTGCTGTAATGAAAAAAAAAAAAAAGTTTCAAGCAAAGTTCTTAAAAGTTACAGCAGCCCAAAAGAAAATGTATATTAAGAGGTTCAGAGCTATGAGCCCAACTAAAGCAAACACTTTTCTCCGTGATGGTGTCTTTAGTCTATGTGGTCCACATATGTTTTAAGATAACTGGGCCACATTTGCTATGTCTCCTCTGGCTATGATGCTCATGCATCAAAAGGACATCAGAATGACACTGGCGTAACAAAAAAAATTTATTTAATGTCATAACTTTGATGTCTATTTGGCATCCACAGATTGACCCCATGCTGACCACCAAAATAATGCCATACATTTTTTTATAATTTAAATAAAGTTTTATTTATTTGAAAGCTTCATTTCCTAATTTACACTGGATTTTGTATCCCTACAAAGCATTTAAACTACCTTGATGTCAAAACGGCATCAAAATTACATCTAACAATAGCATGAATACAACATGTCAAAATCAATTACTGCACAGTCCTGTTATTCTGTTATTCATGTATTCATTCATTTTATTTCGGCTTAGTCCCTTTATTAATCTGGGGTCGCCACAGCGGAATGAACCGCCAACTTATCCAGCATATGTTTTACGCAGCGGATGCTCTTCCAGCTGCAACCCATCACTGGGAAACATCCACACACTCATATACCCGCACTCATACACTACGGCCAATTTTGTTTATTCAATTCACCTATACCGCATGTCTTTGGACTGTGGGAGAAACCAGAGCACCCGAAGAAACCCACGCCAACACAAGGAGACCATGCAAACTCCAAACAGCAATGCCAACTGACTCAGCCGGGGTTTGAACCAGTGACCTTCTTGCTGTGAGGAGATTGTGCTACCTACTGCACCACCGAGACGCCCTAGAGTCCTGTTATACATATTTGATTTTTTTTTTTATGTCAATGTTTTATTTTTCATTACTAAAAAATAAAAAAAATAAAAACATTTAATCAGTCAATTGAATTGACATCAAATGGATTTGCATTTTTGATGTATTAACCTGTTTTTTATTTCGCTTTGACATCAAGGTGCCTGCTTGGTGTTAATGCTTAAAATAAATGATCATATTTATGTAATCATACTCATTTAGAAAATGTTCAGCTCTAAAACATTTTACAACTAGTTTTTTGTTTTCATGATGCAGCCCAATTACAACATGAAAGAACTGCACATTTGAAGTTCAAATGAAAGCAGCAGAGCTTCTTCTTTTTTTTTCTTTTTTTTTTTTTTTTGTTCGGAGACGCAGTACTGAGAGTTGGTTTAAAGTTCATGTTTGTTCCCTCTCTGTGATTTGGAATAACAAAGGCAGGTGCGTAATGACACTGTTCTCAGCATATGGGGCGGCAGCTTAACATCTGCACTGCTGAACGCTTTTATGTGACAGAACTAATAACTGCAGCCATCACAGAGAACAAACCGCTGAATATTTCACCTTCATCCACACTGGATTCAGAGGTGTCTATTGAACTCAAAACTGTCAGAAACACACATATGGCTTTTCAATGATCAGATCTGCCAAAATGATGAAAAAATGCTGTGTTTTATCAAAGTAAACACTTCCTCTTCCTCACAAAACCTGTTTATTGTAGCAAAAACCATGGCTTTACTTTACTAACTCTATAGTTTAACCACAGTATTTGCCAGTGTTTTGACACATTTACAGCAGTTGCTGTGATGATAATATGATTAAAGCTATGCAACTTATAATCTATTTTATTTATTTTTTACTTTCCAGCATTATTAATTATTACTATTATTAAATAGGTTTTAGAACTAAATATATTTTAATTGACAAACAATTAAACTTTTTTTGTGATCAGCACATTAGTAATTTTCTAATGTTGGTATAGAAAATATCCTATTTTTGGACTATGTTTGGATTTTCATCTCTTCTAGATGTAAAACCTACACTGTAAAAAAAAAAAAAAAGATGAATTACTCATGACAACTTATGTTTTTAGTTCATCATAACTTATTAAACTTAAAAGTTAACTAAA